GCGGAAGGAATATATATATATATATATATATGAAATTTATTATTTTATTAATATTTTTTAGTGTGTACGTAAATACAAGTGCAATAAGATCAGTTTTGATATCTTCTGATATAAAACTTTGTCGTTTCCTTTTTGATAAGATAAACAAGATAAGAAAAATGCTTTCCTTAAGATAAGTAAAAAAACAACGATATTCTTATAACATAAGTTTATACAAGAAATGAATGTGGTTTTATAGAATCAAAGAAATAAAACTAATGTAATGTTTTTAAAAGAAGTTTTGTAGAAAGTGTATGTTTTACATAATTGGATATATAAGTTTCCAACATTTGAGAGAGAACAATTGTTTTTGATACATACATCTGAAACTAGAATACTTACATAATATTCTGGCGGTGGAACATACGCGCATTGAGGCCTACTAGGATCATAATATGCGCTCTGCGCAGCTTCAGCAGCCTTTGCATCTGATGAATAAAACAAAGAACTTGTGGAATAATGCATTTATGTGGAGAGACACAGATGAACAATATATCATACGCTATCGCACCAAATTTCAATGACAAGGTTTTAATTTTAAATCTACGAAAGCGATATTCATAAAAAAATGTCATCAATATTTTTTCACTTATAGAAGAAACGGAGTTCTTGCAGATAATAATGTTAACATATGTTTACCGTAACAAAATTTTATCTGTATATCTGTCTAATAAATGATACTCTTATATTGATATTTTCAGTAAAGGAAAGTTCAAATATATAAAACGTTTACGTCATTGTTATTTTGTCATTAAAAAATGTAATGCAATGGCGTTATTTTGTATACTTATATTTTCTATTTTTAGCATTATTAGTAGTAAAATACGTACAAACATGATTTTTACTTGACATATTAACGCAATTATTTTGTTTCAGCATGATTTTAAATTTAAATGTTACTGAAACTTTATAATTGTTATGTTGTCTGTAGTTTTTTAAGTGAGAAATTCTATATAAGACATTTAATTTAAAGTCATTACGTGTCACGTAATGCTTGTAAATAGTGAGATATTAACAAAGATTTTTATCTCTTATCACCGGGAATTTTGACATATACATAATATACTTTTTAAAATAAAAACGTAAAATAATAATTAATTGATGTACTTGCACATATGTTCATAAAGTATAATTTATAACTGCGTGAAAATGTTTATAACTGCGTTAAATATGAATTAGAAACAGTTGAAAACACCAAAACTATATGTATCTCGCCGTGTTTCTCACTATTTACTGACAATATAATAACCGAGAGAAGTGAAAGCAAATTTTATTTCACATTGATGTGTTACGTGGGGTCGTGTTACTTAATACCAAAAACTTTCAAGGTTAGCGAATAATCGCGAATAATTGTCAAATATAAATAAAAAGCCTTTAAAGATTAATAGGTTTAAATAAAAACAGCAAAATATATCTTCAGTTAATATTTAATGTTATACGTAAATATATATTGTACGTATATTTATATATACTGTTTTTTAAAATATGTACATCAAATATAT